TTGCTAAGATGATTGTCACACTAGATGACATGTCCGCATTGCTACATTTGTTTATAGTGGAACAATTATGTTTGAATGAAGCCATAGACTTTGAAGTGGCTTGGAGTACTATCATCGACCTATTGGAAGTGGATCACGCGAGGGTTACATCTAAACTGAGACAGTGTCGTGATCCCGAAGTTAGACTAAGCTGGTTGAAAGACGTATACAACAACTGTTGTGAGAACCAATAGTAGGAGTACGCTACATGGGCTTACTTGAACAATATCATAAAACATCTAACAAAAACAACTTAATAAAATAAGATTAAAACATACTTGTTTGATATTGCGTTTCCTAAATGCGTGACTCAATTTGTTTAGGCCTTTACAAAGTATGTCTTCTACAGAATAATCCAAGACTCATTAAAATATTCAAAGAATAACGGACATGAAAAAGCATGATGAAGGCAATCAACACAATCAGTGAACATTGATTTATGTTCACAATCCATGACATGTTTCCATGCTTCTAGATGACATCTCATGCCTTAACAGAATCGACTAATATTTTGCACTTGACTTGCATATTTTTCTAAATGTGAAAGCGACATAGGAGATGATAACATTCAAAAAATAAAGTGTCAATGACATTCATCAAAACTAGGTCTTCATTGCTAACAATGACATGTGGGTCACCCTTATATGTCAAAAATAACTCTTAGACTTTCTAAAGTCAAAGTGAGATTATTTTGTCGTTCAGTTGATAAGAATACAAAGGTCACTAAGAAAGCCAACCCATTTTAATGTGATCTCAACTATCTCAAACAATGACAACCAATATTTGTTGGTTTTGTATGTTTTATTCATCAACAAAACAATATTAAATACATTAAAAAATTTAACTATCATAATGTATCCAAAAGAAGTCACTTACCACCTCAGATTTGCCAACATATCTACTCCAATAAATGTATTTATCACGTTCTAACATCATCAGTTGTGATAATTCGGTTCTCGAACCTCTCAATAATCGTTTGTAAGTATATCTTGTATTATATACTTGCTTGATTGTTATCACATTACAAGCATTATTTTCTTTGAGAGTGAGGAGAATGTTTGCAAGCTTTACTTGACTCTTAGTCATATCAATAAGCAATTACTCTTTAGTGGAATTTAACCTCCCAAAAAAGGGTGACTAACTAAACTTTGCGTCAAATCATGGTTAAAAGGACATTCGTATTTTCTTGTGTCGTATATACTTGAATGAACATCATATTTGTATTTCTTATACTTTCCACCCCTTTCATATCCCAATAACACAAACATCTTTCTTCCAAGTTAACCATTAACTTTATCAGATATTATAATTACGACAACAAAACCAAGATTCAAAAGCTATTTGTGGAACTCACTCAATTAACTCATCATGTGTGGAAATGTGATCAATTTTAAAATTATTTATATAATCTTCCTCACTCATTTCCTAGATAAAATAAATTGACATGAAACTCAAATTTACTTGTGAATTGATCAAATTGTGAATTGATCAAACTGAAAGAATAATCTTTCATCTTATAATATAAATCATTTATAACATAGCATCACCACCATTAAATACCTTACTTCTTTGATAATAAATAATACCTCAAAAATTGTTAAAAAAACAAAACAAATTAGAAAAAATTAAAAGAGAAAAAGTTCCAAAATATTTAAAAGAAAAAATATATTATATGAATAATAGATTTTGAAATCCGATAAGAATTTACCAAATTTCAAAATCCGAGAAAAATAATAAACGAATTTCAAAGTTTAATAGAAATGTTAACTAGATTTTGAAATGCAATAAATTCCTTAATCAGATTTCAAAATCCAATGAGTTCTCTAACCGAATTTTGAAATTTAATAATTTACCGAACCAAATTTCGAAATCCAATGAATTTTCCAAACTAGATTTCGAAACTCAGTTTCTCAAACCAAATTTCAAAATTCAATACATGTTAAAACATCATAAAAATAAATATAAATTTCAAATGAAATAAATATAAAAATTCCAAACATAACTGAACCAAAAAAAAGCTTATATGTAAAAGATACAAGATGAAATGAAGAAGATAAAACTGAACAAATGAAAAATATAATATTAATCCGGGTAGAAGTCAGGCTGAACAAAGCAAGCACACCACCACAAGCCCAAGAAATCCACAAAAGCAAAAGGACAAGAGAACAAGCAAGACGTGTTAAGAGACTTGAGAGTGCATGACAATAAATATAGAAGACAAGTAAAGACAATTGGGTAAACAATAATTACTGCTTACCTAATTTTTTTATATTTTATATATATATATATATATATATATATACACACACTGAAAGGTAAAACTGTGAACTTGGAAGTGAAAGGAGAAATCTTGGAAATGCATGAGAAGACCCCAAACTTTTTTGTCTTTGATAACATACTTAAAAGTAGCACCACGATAAGATTTTTTAAGTTATTCATAACTTCTTCACAATTGTCCATGTGCTTAATTTACGTACTACTTTTGAACTTGAGGAAGTTATATATCTATTCACATTCGAGACATTCAAACTAAATCTTATAACTCGAACATTATGCAAATAATCTATTATTAACATATTAATCACATAATCAACAAATAAAATCTAACTATTTCCAATATACTACTTGACTATAACTTAATATGATAAGATATATCATAGACAAAAAGATAAGCTTATACAGAAACCTATATAAAAACATGACCACATCAGAAAATCTTACTTCAACTCTCTCAATATTCATATTTATTTGTCGCTCATTATTCTGCTGTTCAGTTATTCACTTTACCATCAGAACATAATTTGCAAATGGATTTTCCTTCGACGATATGTTCAATCCATTTTACAAGCGTTATCACGATTAAACTCAAATTGGAAAACAGTTTGACTCAAAAACATTCATTTTCTGTTAAGAACAAAATATAACAAACATTTATAATAATCAATTTCATCAACATGCTAACGAAAACCTATGAAAAGGGCGGTACTTACAGTCATCTCTCCAATGGGTTTGATCTCTTGCTTCACACACACTACAGTATTGAGTGAGCACAAGTCCATCTTATGGTAGCATGTGGCATGCAAACATAACATATGAAAGTCTGTTTTCTTTTATTTCCCCCTTTTAGAAGAAATAACATATGCTATTTTTATGTACTTTTGTTCTCTGAACTTCAAGTGCAAACCACAATCCATGCTATATTTGGTGTCGGAATTCTTATTCTAACTTGTCTACAAATACTACTTATATTTATTCTTCGAACTAACCAATATCGAGCAAGGTGTGCTATAAAAAATTTATAACCATCAATTTTGCTAACAATAAACTGTGGTCACAACACTCTCTTCTATTCAAATTCTCTATAGCCTTATGAAACAGCACAAATGATTATTGACTAGTCAGATTACGGTACAGTTTATACTGTTCAGGCTCAGGATTGTTCTGCTTCTAGCAGTTGCTCATGCGAGAGAAGACCTTCAGTTCACGCACCAAAATTGGGAACATTTTCTATGACCTTATCTACATCTATAGTTGAATTCAATTACTCAGCAACTTGCCTCAAATCGGCAGTCAGCAATTCATTGAATATTCAGTCAAAGATGAATGCCAGCATGCTTTTTTATTATTCGGTAAATCATGTGAGTTTTGTTAGATAAGACTAATATAATGATCCTTGAGTCAACTAATAATGTGATTAATTGTTCATGGGCTTTGAACACGTAATTCTAATTGGCGGGGGTGAATAGTACGGGCCTAGTTAGGCCCTTCATTGCCTAGGGTTAATAAATAGTGAGGCCAGGTCCCCTTTTTTGCTGTCATATCAGTTGCTCTCTAGGGTTTGTCCCATTGAAAATTCAAGAATAATTTCAGCATTCTTAATTATGTCTTCAACAAGTAAGTATTTATCAGTGTTTTAAATTCCATAAGTTATTCCATTACTGGTATATTATTTACTTTGGTGTTACAAGTTTCACTCTTTATTCAGTAACCCCATATGAATTTCAATAAAGAATGTGACAGCAAATGTGTTGCAAACAGTTATTTTTAACCACATGCCCTACAGTTATTAATTATATCAAACTATCAGTTCATTAAGCCTTGATTGTAATAAAATCATAATTATTACTCATTTGCGCCAAGGTTATCAAGTACATTTATTTTCTTTTTTTAATGAATCTGAGCACCCAGGAGGTCAATGCTACCAAGATTACATGTGGAATCTTAGTATTGCGACCTCAAAGCATCAAACTTCCATGGAGGAGGAAAGTGTGACCTGACCTTAAATTTGAAAGGTTTAAACGTGATTTTAATCCCCATAGTTTTACCCACTTTAGTTTTGACATCTACAAAGTTGTTTAGTTGTTCTTTGATAGAAGGCAGAAGGAATGATAAAATAAGAACAGTATCTATTAGAAATGCAGAAAGAGCCTAAGCTGTCGAGAACAACCAGAGCTATGCTCCTCGCAGAGGGATTAATCCTCTCTCTGCCAACCCGAAGGATTCTAACAGAAAAGATATGTAATGATCCTCCACTCCTTCAGCCTCTCCCTATAATCATTCTTAACTACCTGACACATCAGCAGCTCCTTAATTTCTCTTCCCTCTTCTCTTTCTTTTTCTCAAACTCATAAACTCTCCATATCATGGGCGTACCTTGCTTAAGGTCTATTAAGGAATCTTCATCTGATCCAGCATTATGGCCCATGTAAAGCAGTCTACCATGGTTATACTTTTAACTTAAACACATGTATCAGCACTAAATAACAGTTTCTTCTCTTGTTTCAGTTTTGGCTCCCTATCTTATAAGGTACCAGTCCCTAGATTTTTACCCTTAGGTTTTAATCCCTGTACGTACTTCCGAGTTTCTCCTTATTAAAGTTCACCCATAGACCAATACCCAAATATAAACAACAGGGACTGCAATTTCATCTAAATCAATTAGAAATTATGTTACAGGAAAATTTAAAAAAACCAGTAAACAATTTAGATAAATTATGTAATCATAGGACAAATGAAGGGTATCATATACTTTTACCAGTCAGATTTATATCCTGTCCACTCTGCCAGATAGATTTGAAAGGAAACAAAGGATTAGGGGAAAAAAAATTACAACCACAAAAAGGAATATAGGCAGAGAAAATTTGAAGAACCTCCATAAAATTACCGGCAATACTACTTATTGATCCTAAATAAAAAATCTAGAAGAGGGAACACCGTGTTCTAACCTCTTCTCTCTTGTCTATCCTTATCCTGATTTCCGAATAATTTCTTCCGAGGGGAGTTCAAGTGTTGCTCCAGCATGCTGTTTACCCGGCTTCACCACTGCAGCAATAAGTTTTTAAAAAATGATAAAAGGACTCAGTGAACTCATACAGATTTCATCAAATAAAGTTCCTAGCTCCTCCAAAGCTAAAAACAAAAATCATGAAAAGCAAAGCCACAGTATTCAAATGTAAAACTACAAAAAAACACTCTTATTAAGAAAACAGGCAGATACAATACGTGTATACATCTCAAATGCCTGACTGCAATGACCATGTTTTGAATATGTTAGGAATTTAAGGTGAGTTTGAAGTCCTAAATTGGTTAGAAATGAGTAAAATGGACAATATAAAAGTAGAATGATTTATAAACAAACCTATTATCTTAAGGTTTTGGATTGATGGAAGTGTTTTGATCTTTTATATGACTTTATTCAGGACTCATTAGTATCGATTTTCTTGCCTTACCAGGAAAATTCTAACAGAATATTCAGATAATGTAAATACATGACTTGCACTTCCAAACCCCAAGACTAACAAAAATTAAAACTTTTGTAGGTAATGAAAAGTAATTTTTAATTCATATGGAGGTAGCACTGAAACCTATCTCAAAAATGAATGCCATAATTGGAAATGAGATGCTTCCATTGATCAGTAATTCCAAAGTTATTGGCAAGCCACAAACACGGGTAAGATCCACTTTGAAGAAACTTCAACATAAACATTTGTAGGAAAATAAAATATAAAGACAGCCGTAAGCTAAAATCAACTTTCGATCTTTGTTTATGGAGAAGTAAAATGAAAAGAGATTCTATAAAACCCAATGAATTTCATCTTCTCATTTTGTATAAGCCAAACATGGTCCAAATCCAAAACAAGAGGACATAGGAGCAAGATAGGGTCATCGACAAGTCATTAGTAGCATGATATCCTCAACTAAACAATGAACAGAAACCAAGTTTTCTAAATAAATAAACTGAAATGCAACATTAATGTTATGACCTCTTAACGTAAGCTCCATGACATGATGGTCTTACAGTGACTGAAATGCGAGTCTCTGAAGTAGTGATTAATAGATATATTTCCATATAGAGCATACCGTAACTTCCGGCATCGGTGTTGAGTTGTGCCTGGACGATCGTGTTGGTGATGAAATCGGAAGCCTCGGCGGCTTCTTCGAGAAGCTTCTGAATCTCGGCCTCTGAGCTCACGTTCCTGTTCTCCTCAAAATTTTTCCTTACCTCTAACGCCGATTGCTTCAGCATCACAGTGTCGCCAGAAAATGTTTTCCTGGTCGCTTTCAGAAGCGCGCGGTACGCGCTCAGAACTTCCCTTCTCGCCATCTCACTCTCTCCTGATCTCTCTTTTTCTTCTTGGAGTCTTTTTTGATGTGTAGCAGTTCTATCACACCCTGTATTTCTGTTTGTTTTTACAAACCCTTAAAATCGAACCGTGCCATCCACGGTATTTTCCAAACAACATTTAATATTAAATAACAAATCAAATTTTATAAAATGAACTAACTTTATATATTATATTTTAAATTAAAATAATAATATTAAAATTAACTTAAATATTTTAATATGTAATTATATTTAACTTTAAATTTATATATTAAGAAAAACATAATTAAGTTTTAAAATATCACTGAATTTATATATTTTTTTAAATATAATAATCAACTATATGATAATATAGGGATTTTGATTCTGGCTAATCGAAAATATAAAACTAATTTTTATTTTTATATAAATGTCTAAAGGTGTGCGTTGAGTTTGAAATATTAAATAACTACAGACATTAAGAATTTGATATTTAGTGAAAAGTTGATAAAGTGTAAAGATTATAATCAAATGTGAAATCCGGATATAAAGAAGAAAAAAATAATATTGTTATTTAATTTATATAAAATTCAACATCCTGGTTGGTAAGATTTTAGGTAAAGAAAAAGGTGGTAAAACAGTTTAATAACTTCAATACATAATTTTTTAGTAGGAAGTGATCATTATACATGAAGCAAATTTGTCAATCTTTAAATATATAAATAATATATTCACTTTCAAAAAAATTGAGAAATCAAAATCACGCATAATTAGAACTAAAATAATTAAAAATAGAATTAGAGTATTTTTATATTATTTTATGTAATTTGACCATAATTTAACAATTAAACTTGCTTAAAATCATTTAAACTGTGAGCATGTAGTCATTGACCAATATACTTATTAAAACATTACACATAGACATCGTGATTACAGAAAAAAAACATTATTAAAGATGACTAAGTCCGCTAATGCATATTTGCGCATATTAGTGAAATCAAGAATAGAAATAAGTCTAAGATCCATTTGTTTAAACTTATTTTTTAGAAATTAATAAAAATGAGACTTTGTTTAATTACAATTATAAAAATAACAATATTTAACTTATACGATAATTTTAATTAAAATTTTCAAAAATACTACTTAAAACAACTACAAAATATTTTTAGAAACTTACAGACACATTTTATTTTGTTTTTCCAAAATGAAACCAACTTCTTATGGAGGCGGAAAACTAAAATAAAAGGGTTGCCTTGCAATGTCTGAAAATTGAAATATAATGTGTTAAAAATATTCTAAATGTAATGAAAATAATGTGCACGAAGCTCTGCTGTAGATCTACTATCAAACACGAATTAAACTTTACAGCAATATCGATTTGCCATCAAAACTCAAAAATATCAATAGCAGGTTATTAGTTCATTTACATTTTTCAGACGAAAGCCAACATGCTAGACAGGTTCAAGAAATTTTTTCAACTGTGTTCTATGAAATTTGTATGATTCAGATTAAAAACTCGTTCCTATCCCAAACAAATAACCATAGCTCAATCCTTGTACATACTTTCCTCTTCACAAATCATAACCTAAAGTACATCACTTCATATTTCGATCAAAATCTACAGAAGCTGATTGATACCTCATCAATACATCATCAACATATTTTCATATTTGCCAAAATCCTTTCCGATATTGACTTGGCAAATAGGTCACCCTGAGAACAAACACCAAAACCACTTGGTCAAGGATTCACGCACAAAAGAAGTCAGTTCATCCACTATTGAAGGAAAGAGAATATTATGTCGTGTCGATAGTCCACAGATTTCTGCAATAGTCACCTTAATGCATCAACCATTCTACAGTCATGCTTCCTGCGACGGCATCTATGATGAGATTTTTGATCTAGCAAGGTGTTCTCCCCAACCATCTCCCTTTTAGAATCTACAGCCGGTGCAATGAAGGTAAAGTCAGTCTCTGAAACAACCAATTAGAGTCCTAGTTTTATATGCAACAAATGCCTTAATAGATAATGCTTCAAAGAAATTTGTATGAAATCCAAAACCATGATCAAATTAGAACCTTTCAACCTAGCAACTTTTGTATGATGTATTGGTTTGTGTGTCCGAGTCACGTGCAACAGAGGCTCAGGAAAGCTTATAATTATAAGGGAAGTATTTAGCTTCTAATACTAGTGAGAAAAAATATCATGCAAAATTAACGTTCCATTTAAACTCTCATGGCATGCAATAGAGCAGTAATACAAAAATCTTCAAGGTTAAAAAAGCAGATGCAAAACACACAATCTGTTGTAAATGTATTCTTTATTTTTCTAGTGGCTAGTCAACATCTTCAAGATATTCTACCTAAAAAGTTACTGCCAAAACAGCAAGGTAATATCAAACATCCTTCCTTTTTTTTCTGAAGGTCAATAGCTTTTGCCACAAATATTCTCTCAATGATATTTCACTTTCAGCACACCATGGACTAAACTAAACTCAGTCAAAACTTCAGTAGCAACTACCATACAATTGTACTGTTTCATTCATCAACTAGTGTTCATTGAGATCCCAACCCCCAATCCTCAAACCTAAATTTTGCAAATAGTTATAGAGTTCCTCGGCACAGTCTCCAAACATCTTGCCATGTATCTAGAAAGAGGGCATCAACTTCCTTCAGAACAAAAAACAAATTCGGTGGTCCTTTTTCTAAAGGAAGCTAATGGAACAAACTATACTTTAGATCTACCCACTGAAATACTACATGGTTGAAAAGGGTAGGAGGATTTGAGGCTATAGATTGTTACTGTTGTTTTCCCAACAAGCTGAAACTTAAATAGAAAAGGGTCCAGTAATAAGTTGGGATGCAGATTGATGATCCTTTTATTCACCAATCAAATGTTTTCCCCCAATATACACAGCATGATGGAATCCAAGCATCACCCTTCCAAGACCAAATATCACCGAGACTAAGTAGGGTATGGGGGCAAATCAGGAATAAATGACTTAAGTTTTATTAAAAAAGTAGGTTTGGAACAACAAGATGAGAAAAGAATTTTACAGGACCTATACATTTTCCTCTTTAAGGAGTAAACTTCATTCAAAGGAGTTTGTTAGGTAGCCGTTGACTTTGTTTGTAAAGCCAACTGTTTCGAAGATGTGTTTCTTTGAGGCACAGCACCATATGGCTGTCATGTTCCGGATCACATGGTTAGGGATGCGGTATGTGTGGACAAGGGTCTGACCCATCTTGGGCCACTTGCTTGTACCAAAAAACCATCCTATGAACAGAATCTCCAAGACTATTCCTTTGCTGTCAAAATAACCAATGTAAACGTTCTGCTAATTTTTCTTTTCTCATTTTTAGAACTAGAATTTTATTTAACTCCCAACAAATCTTAAATATTAACGTGTAAGAAAATTTACTCCGTCAATGTTTGCTATAAAAAGTTGATTAGTCTCCCAAACAAGGACAGTTTTTTCTTTTCCAGGAACCCTAAACAGCATCATGGCAAAGGCAAAACAACAGACACGTCTAGCAGAAATATGTTATATTCAATTCTTCTTTCAAACAAAGGCTCTAAAAGCATATCCAAATATAAGGGGAAACAAACTCACTAGCCCAATATTTGGAATACCACAACTTTAGAATCAAGCAGTATCCACCTCAAATGAAATATCTTACCAATGCCATAAAAACTGGTAGGGTTTATAGACCAGGGTTCAGTGTAGTGGCCATAGCAGACCAAATAACAGGTTAAATAGCAGTTGTTTGTGTTGATTCCATACAAACCCTCCAAATAAGACATTAGTGCTCGGAGATCTGGTTTGCGATTTCAAGATTTCAAATTTTCAAAAATGAAATCTACAGCTGTAACAGTAGTGAAAACTTTAAAGTGGGAGGACTTGGATTCAGAAGATGATGAGTGATAATTCATGATTCCTATCTAAGACTTGAATATTACTTTTTTTCATATTTGTCTGAATTGGTATGTTTTGTTCAAGGCACTAGTATCGTTAAATATGAATGTCATAAATTATGAGTTATTTCTATAACATTTCAGAATTTATATACATACATATATATATATATATACATATATATATACATACATATATATATATA